AAGAGAAATATAAGGTGATCAAGGAAGAACATGAAGAAGAAGGTGATGTGGAGGCTTTACAAGTAAAAAAAGTTGGACATGTTGTGGAAAAAGATGAATGGGTTGACATGGAGAAAAGCATGACTGCAGATAATGTAGAGAGAGATTTGGTTGATTCAATTACAGATACTACATAAGCAAATGTTTCTTCTGACTAAGTAAAAACTCATATAGCTGAGAACGTAGATGAAGCTCTGGAAGTGACATCCATAAAATTCAATATTGCTCTTGTTGCTAGTGAAGCCTTCTCTGAGGGTGAACAAATTCCTGCAGGTGAGAAGAAGTGTGACAGATTGGAAGGTGAGCCCTTGACTATAGTTGAGGAGATTGGCGAGCTAAAGTGAAACAAGCAAGTTGACCTTGTGGGCAACCGGGGTTGTTTGAAAATCTTTAAAAAAAGGCCATTGGGTTTATTGTCCTTTTTGGATGAAGAAACTATGTTTCCAAATAACAGTCCAGAGTTGTACAAGAGCAGTTGTGATGCTAACTCGACGGATGTGGACATCAGTACAAAGATTTGGCGCGTCTATAACAGGAGGCGTCGTAAATCGACGGCTATAATTTAAATCTTAAATTATGAGTTATTTTCTGAATTTTAGCTCTTATTTTATGTTATTTCTTATTTTACCCCCTAGGTTAGTCTATGTGAGTGTTGTTGCCCATGGAGCAACTTTGTCTTTTGAGTTTTCTTATGTTGTGGTCTATATATAGGACCTTAAGCTATTGTAATAGATGATAATTGATATATATAAAAAGAAAAATTCTTGTTTTCTTGCTCTTTGTGAGTTTTTTTGAAAGTTTTCAACCATTCCTTAGTGGGTTGGATGAAGGTAAAAGTCCTTTGGTGATGAAGGTCATGTATCACCCCAACAGCCGGCTTGCTCTTGGGTTCTATCCTTTCAATTTTGTTACTGTTTTCTTATTTCTTTTTGCTGCCATTTTTCTCTCCTTGCTGTCATTTTTTTTTCTTTCACTCAAAACAATCCACTTTCACTAGCCGCCCCCCTCCAAACCCCTTCCAACAACAGCCCGTCCCCACCACCCAGCAAATGACCTCTATTCCACCTCCCTTAACCAACGGCAACTCCAAATCATCCCAATCTAGCTACCACCGAGAGCCCTACCTCCACCACAAAATCAGCCGCCCAACTCGCAAGCCTTCAAAATGACTTTTCATATCCTTTGACCCTTCACATTCCACCAAACATTAATTAGACTTTCTGATGCAGGACAACTTAGATGACATGCTTATGGATTCATGTGGGCATTGCACAACTAAGAGATTAGAACAATTTCGGAACAAAATTACAAGCAGTTTTCAAACGACAATTAAAACAAATGAGTGGATCAATTGTGTAGGCTAAATCACATGCTCCCAGTTTGAACCGTCAAGATAATTATGAAAATAGAAGCAATACAGAATAGTAGTTTTCAAGTTAAATCCCTAATCTAATAACGAGACGTAGGATGCATAGAAGATTACATTCAATTCCTACAAATGACTAGGTTTGGCAAGAGCAATTGAAGGCGCTTTCGTGATTACAATCATCCAATGAGAATTTAGATTTAGAAGAAATAAAATGCAAGTGAAAAGGAGAACCTTTACTTAAGGAGACGCGGAGATCTTCCACTTGATGCCTCCAACGCCTTCGTCCACGGCTTCCGTCGAAGCAAAATATGATACGTCTCTTGAATATGGGTTGGGGGTCTACTTCCAAGTGTTGATTCCAAAACTTGAAATTGTGTTCAGGTTCTTCCCCAAGAAATCTGAAATACTCCTGAATTTCCTCTCAAAAATCTGAGAAGAAACTTAGCTTTCAATGTTTGGGATGAATGGACTAGAGGGGAGAAAGAGTATGGACGTGAATCACAAGAGATTTAATGGTGGAGAAGAGTTGTGAGAGGAAGGGAATCAGGTATGGAAAAGCTGGGTCGGAAATGTAGAGGAGATAGGGAATTTCTCTCCAAAAACCGTGAGAATTGTTTTTAGAAAGAACTAAAGAGGTTCCTGGGTGTTTGAAATTTCAGCAAAGAGGGAGTAATGGGGATTTATGTTATTTCCAAAGGAGTCACTTGGCTTTTGGAAATAATTCCAACGGGGGTCTTGATGGAGCCGGCGGCATGCATGGCAGAGGAGGATTTTAGTGCAGGTAATTAAGGTTTCTTAATTAGGATTTGATTTAAGAAAAGTTTATTTGGAATCCACTTGTATTTGAATTTCAAATTAAACCCAAAACAAATACCTTCCTAAAATAGAAGAGTTAATTTAGGAAACAATTTGAGTTCAAATTTAAATGAATTTGAATTTCAAATTGATCCCAACTAAGCCCAACCCAATTAGGAAACAAAATAAAGAAAAAAAAAAGGCTAGGGGATTAGTGGCCGGCGGCAAAGGGGATTGGGGATGCTTGGCCGTGGGGGTGTGGAAAATAAATAAACACACATAAGCAAATAATAAAATGCATGAAAATAAAATACATCGACTCAAAAATATAACGAATCGATCGTGGCCGTAGATCGGCGGCCACGTCGCTGGTAAACTTTCCATGATGATCTGATGTCCCCATCACTTTCAAATTCTGAAATCTAATTAATTTTGGTGTTTTCCCAAGCCACCTCACCCCTCCCAAAATCAGACATTAATTCTCCCTCCACTTTCCCAAACCTTTCCATTATGACATCCACTTCCAATATCATTTAATGAGCCATCTCATTAACTATTATTCCCTTTACCAAAGCTCCAATTAATTTCTCAACTTTCCAAAGCCTCCTCATTAATCCAAACCATTAATCCTATCTCATTTCCCTAGTCCCACTTAAATATTATTAAGTGCAGTCATAACTTCTCCCATTACTCATACACCCTTTCCTATGTGCTGCTGCCATTAAGTGCTCGGCTGCTATCTTATGTTGTTGGTCTGTTCCATAACACCCTCCCAAATGTGCCCTTGCTGCTACCCATGGGTTTGTCCTGCATCTGGAGCTCCACCCACAATCCAAACCAATACGCATAACAGGAAATTGTAAGGGGCCAAAGGATGCATAAACATGAACACGACGTCATGGACACAAACATAAGACATATCAATTATTGAAAATATAGGATACAAATACGGTTTGGATACTACAAAATTTTATATATTAAAAATAATGAATATAAATTAAATAATCATAATATTAAAAATAATAAAGAAAATGATAAGTCATTGAAATCTAAAATAAACTTTGTAAAGGTGATACTCATAAAGAGTCATCTAGCTTATTATATTAAAAAAATAAGCATAAACTGTTAAGTATAACATCAAAATTCAACATTCAATATTCAACTATACATAAAAAAGAATAATAGGATTAGCATCTTCATCAAGTATTTATCTTTGCCTTTCAATCTCATTGTTATTAAATAACATTGCTTCAATTATAACTTATCAAGATAAAGATTAACAATCTTCAAAATTCTCATATCATTGAGGGACTCGAAGCCATCGGGGGATGTCAAACATAGACGTCGTCCTCGAGCCACCTTCGAGCGTCGTTAGACATCCACAAAACACCATTAAATATCATCGTCGAGCTGCCTTTGAGCTTCAAAGAAAAACCCTACTCGCAAGTCACAAAGGAAATGTTCGAGGGATCAGGGGATGCGGGCAAGTGTTCTGTCGATGCATAAGTAAGAAATTTTATTCTTAATAAATTGTATCGAAAAATAAATTTTTAATAATATAATTAGGACAAGCATCTCGGGCATGTGTCCATTTTTTGAAGATTATTTTAATTGGACAAATCTTTATCATGACAAACAAATGACAACACGTGTCTATGGCCGACATGTGTCGGTGCATCACTAAACGGTAACATGGGAAATGGTGTAACTATGTAGCAAGATTCCATATATAAACCTTGAGAAAGCACTCCCTGCTAGTTTACCATGTGGGAAATGGTTTCATTTCATTCTTTTTATGAGTAGGGTTGAAATCATTACACTTGGGAGAGCGTTAGAGTGCTTGTGGAGCCATTTGTGTGTGAAATTGAAATCATTACAATTGAGAGAGTTTTAAGAGGCTTTGTGGAGCTTTTTTTGAGTGTGAATGGAAAACCTTACATTTGAGAGAGCATTAAGAGCATTTGTGGATAAAACCAATGTTGATTTCCATCTACACCAAATAAAATAACGAAAGTAACAAATTTCATCATTTTAAAAAGCATGTTTTCTAACTTCAACCAACCATATGGGGTTTTGGAGCTCATTTGGTTACTTTTAGATAGAAACCGAGTTTTAGAAAATGATAATTTTGTTCACTCATTTTGTGTGTGAAAATAAAATCAATATATAGGAGGAATTTGTAAAAGTTTTAAAATCAATTTTTTTTTTTGGAAACTATGCAGAAATTTGAATGCCAATTTTCAAATTTTATTTCCTTCAGAAATTGAATGAGAGAATGACCGAGAATATGCAAAATATGTCAAGAAATAATTCAAAGCAATCATCAGATCATGTTGTGCATAAGTAAATTACTAGAACTAAGATAATAGAATCAATTTTACCCAAAAGATCAACAAAATTTCATGACCCTGCAGCATATCATCCCTGTAATAAGATCACATAAATTGAGATCATTCCTCTTCAGATCCATCAAAACAAAGCGTGATAATAGATTCAATCATTTAAATTTTGCAAACCTTTACCACTTTACTCGACCAAATGACACTAAAATAAAATATAAAAAAAAAACAGAGGAATTGAGCCAAAGCTCTGTATAAACATTCGTTGAATCCATAACCTCTGTTGTTAGAGCCAAAGCTCCCAACCACTTATACTTCAAGTTTGATTATCTAACTTCTTTCTCTCAGCAAAGCCAGCTGAACATAGTAGCATCTGATAAATACATTCAAATCTATCATCCTCATTTATCTGACTTAGATATAGCGCATGGCTTATTTTAAAAAAGTGCTTATTGATATGAAAAAATTTGACAAAATATGTAATAATTAGAATTTAGAAGTACAAAACCTACATTCGTCCGTCCAATGATTAGTTTACAATTGTAAACCGCACATGCTGTGTCCGACCAAGCAGATGCAAAAGAAGGCCAGTTTTTTATTAATATGATTATTTACCGTCCAGTCCAACCCATATCAAACGACGCCAGTGAGTTCAGATTGAAATAAGAGAAGAGAGAGAGGTGGGGTAGGAGATAGAGCGGCGCACCTGGACGGCTGAGGCGAGTAAGGAAGAAGCGCTCGCCGGACTCAAGGCCGTAAGCTGCAACCGCCGACGAGGATAATCCCATGACTTCAGCGTACACGACAAGGAGCCGGTCTCGCTTCGCATCGATTAAGATGCCCAACGATGCGTTTCCCGCGACATCAGCGTCGGCGATGAATGTGCGCTCCTGGAGGTCGGAGCCATCGGAGCCATCGGAGCCATCGGAGATGGCGGGGAGGCGGATCTCAGCGACTCCTCCGTCGAAGAAGGTGGATATGAGAAATCTGCGACGTGCATGGTCCCACTTGGCGCACTCCCTTAGCCAGCCGCCGCTCCTGTACCTGAGGGAGCCATTGGTAGCTGTAGCTGCCCGCTCCAGGGACGCGATTAGGGCGATTGGTATAGCAGTGGCGAGGAGTAGAAGTGCCCAAGTGCGGCGCCCACAGTACCCGCAGCAGTTACTCGCCATTGTAGGAGGAAGATCGGAGGTGCGTTAATTGCTGATGCGCAGAGAAGAAGCGAGTGAACCACGCAAGAAGTTTCAAAGAAAGAGAGAAATAGGCGAGTGTGGTGGTGGTTTCTCGTTGGAATTCAGCGATCTGTTGACCGAAGAAATTGTCCAATGGAGTCTGATTGGTGACCTAATTGCTGAAATTTTGCAGAATGGTTGGGATTAATGGGTAAACGAGAAGAGTCCAACCTGAATAATTTCTCTTGCGGCATGAGCTCCAACTTTATTTATAAGTTCAAGCCGGAGACATAATGATTATTATTTATATTAACAATTATAAAAAATGATTAAAAAAAAGAGAAATTAAAATATTAATAATAAAGAATCAGTTATTGATATATGTTCTATTTATAGGAGAGTGTAATACATTTATAATTTTTATAATGTTTTCTTAATTAATATGAATTTTTTTGCCAAAATTAACCTAATATACATTTGATTATTGTTTAACAAAACTATTTTTTTATGATGAAAGTGAGATGAATATAATATTTCTTTTTTTAATAAATAACTATCAACTCATGAAAGTGCAAGTGATTACTAGAAAAGGATCATATTTTTATGAGAATAAAATCAATCATTTGTCTATGCTTAAAAATTCTCATGAAGAATTTTATTTTAAACTTTATTCTTCATCATCAAAATTTATTACAATAATAATTATACTCTCCTTTAGAGTAATTAAAGCATCAATTTAAGTTTTATTTGTGACAGTTTTCTTACTGTTTTTTTTAAAAAAATTCTATTTACTAAAAAAAAAATTGACAAAAAATCTACTTTAAAAAGAAGTAAGAAAATCATCCCAAATAAAACTTTAATCTCAACTATTCCAATAATAACAGTGTATTATAATCATAACTAAGGACAAATTAAATAGTTAGCGAATTGGTCAATACATCAATTACTCGAACCACTGAAATCTGAACACCATTCAAATAATTATTTTATGATTATTGATTAGTTCGTTTTTATTTTTTTTATTTTATTTTAGCTGACTAAGGATCTTTTTTGTGTCGCTATATCATTTTCTTATTCGACTAGCAACAAGATAACATTTTATATAAGAAGGTACAAACCCAATTTCAAATAAGATTTTAGTAAAAAAAAAATTGACGAAAAATCTACTTTAAAAAGAAGTAAGAAAATCATCACAAATAAAACTTTATTCTCAACCATTCCAATAATAATAGCTTATTATAGCCATAACTAATGCCATTAAATATAGTTTGTCAATTGGTCAATACATCAATTACTCCAACCATTGAAATCTGAACACCATTCAAATAATTATCTTATTATTATTGATTTGTCTGCTTTTTTTTATTTTATTTTAGCTGACTTAAGGATCTTTTTTGTGTCACTATACCATTTTCTTATTCAACGAGCAATACGATATCATTTTATATAAGGTACAAACCTAATTTCAAATAAGATGACTTTCTGAGTATTGACAGCCTTTCGTTGTAAATTGTTATTTTGTTGGGGTTGTATTGGAAAGAGTGAACTAGAAAATTTGTAGTATCATACATGTATTAAAAAATATTTCCATTAATTACTTTTCCAATACACAAAAAAAAAAACTTATGTTTTAACTTTCAAAATATAATAAATATGCTTTGCATATATAATTATAAAAAAAAACAGGTTTCTTTATTGAATATATGGCCCTCTCACCGCTCCCTATAATATTAACGGTAACCAATAGGTTTGAATATGAAGCACAAAAAAATAGGCACGGTCAATTCTAATCATGATGGATTTAATTTCCATTTAGGATTTATTTGAGACATTTTTCTTACTGCTTTATAAAACAACTTTTTAATATGAATATTACAATTTTTATACTAATTAATTGCTTTTAAAAATAATAAAAAAATCATCTCAAATAAAGCCTTAATCTATTTTATATAAAGACAATCCATAATTAATCTATCAACCTTTGTATTGCACTTATTTTATCATAAATTCAATCAATTTTTATATTACACTACTAAAAAACAAAGAAAAAAAAATTCAGTCATAATATTTTGATATAAATTATATCAGATTGAGTTTGAAAGTCATTGAATTTATTTTAAAATTGGGATAATTCAAAATTTTCATATACAACATTAACCTCAGAAGTAAATTCAATAATTTTTTAACTCATCGGGACATCATGATAGAAGGTTTTATCTAAACAAATCCAATGGAATAGAAAATTCATCCTAATCAAATTTGGTGAAGATTATGCTGACCGAAATTTCCTCCAAGCAAGGTAAGTATAAAGAAACGAATTTAACTTCTGCAATCAAGCAAGAAAAAAAGTCTCGTCAAGTCAGCAAGTCAAAGAGGAAAGAAAATAATAAGTGAAACGATGACTGGTAAGAACAGCTAGAGCTCATATCTGAAACACACCTGTTATGGAGATATACTGAATAGAAAACCAACTGGTAATTCTAAGTTGCACTTATGATTTCTGCCTTTCATGCGGAGGATCACTTATATGACGTTATGCGTTGGAACACTGAGATAAAACTTTGTGTTCTTGAAATCATCCAGAAGTGGATTATACCCATCCTTAGTCCTAGTCTTTGACGGCAACCCAAATTGTTCGATGAAAGCAGCAGTATCAAGCTTAAATGAGCCAAAGAAGTTTAAATTTAGAGATAGAAGACGCTGCAAATATGAAGCATGAGATTATGAGAGATGCAAAAAACTTGATGAAGAATAAATAATGCAATTTCATCTATAACCGAAGGTTGAAGAGAAATTGTTGGGGTATTAGGTCAGACCTAGGCTTCGTTTGGGGCGGCTTTTTTACTGCTTATTAAAGCGATTTTTTAATACAAAAATCAAAAAAACTGCTTAAAGAAGCAGTAAAAAAACTGTCCCAAATGAAGCCCTAGTTCACCAAATTACCAAAAGTAAAACACCAAAAATTTTATACAAATTTGTCAATTAATGACACTCTCTCTCTCTCAACTCTCAAATTTTGGAGATTATAATATTCAATTTTTTGGAAGGAAATCGCTTTCAGTTAAATTTTCTTGCAAATCAGACCATGTTACATAACTTCGCAATGTCGAGTAAGCAGAGTTAACGAAATATGTTCAACGTTCCTTCAACAGTAATAGAGTTGAAGCAAAACTTACTATGATACTTCTTCTCAGCTTTATAGGTTTAGATGAACCGGAGTTGCTTGGCTCGCTAGTGAATCCAGAGGAGTGGTGATCAATTCTCTCCAAAAGAAAAAAATCGGTTGGGAAGAATATATCAGAATCGCCCTGCAAGCCATTTAAGACAATTTTGAGCATTAATATGATGGCAGGAAAATTAATGACTTCAGTTGGACGGGGCAGAATCTGATACAATTTGGAATGTAAATACAGCAAAAACCTGAGTTCAAAGCCTGCCAACCATTACTTGAAATCTATAAAAAATTGAAATGGAAACAGAGTACCAGTATGAAACAAAATGGCAAAATGGAATCTCTAAAGTAACGATTGAACCACACATAATAAGGTCAGGTTGTAGCCTCTGTATAGTATACAAAGCTGAATGTCTGCATGCCATGGATCCATAAATAAACATGTAAAAAAAAATTTCTTGCAAGCAGCACATAGAAAAGCATAATGAAAATTTAAGAGCAATCCCTCCTTAGAGATTAAAGTTTAGTATAGATATCAATTATAGAGCAAATCAAAACTAATAGTTGAGAACAGCACATATTTACTTAAGCTCTCCAATGTCTATACTAGAAAAACTGAAAGAACCTCGTATTTAGTTGGAAACATAAGAACCTTGTATGTAGGTAGCTCTTTAAGAGGAGATAATAAATATGTATGCATAACTTAACAAACCGAATTGAAACAAGTTACAAGCTCTTGCTTTTGAAAGGATGCAAGTTATGCATCTGTTTAAGGAGAAAATAAGTTTCGTTTCGCTTCTTGACTTGAAACGAGGGTATCATATTTGCGTGCAAATTTTCAAGAAATGACGGTCTCTTAAAAAAAAATGTATATGCAAATAACATTTAATATTATAAGAATTTTTTAATAAAAGGACGATGGCCGCTTTAACCTTTTATATCAAGCATTGTTTAAAATTGCGCAATATGATGCTCGCTTTGAGGCCCGACTCAACGCAATTCTAGTGAAAAATGCCTCGAGGCTTGCGCCTCGTCCTTTTTTTATGAGGCTTAAGCCACGTACTTTTTTTATGAGGCTTACGCCTCGTATTTTTTTTATGAGGCTTACGCAATATGATGCGCTCCTCGCCTCACTCTACTTATGTTTTTTTTTAATTAGAACTTACCTAAATCCTATACAAAAGCCTAAAAAAAATCATGTCTTCTTGCACCCCCAAGCCGCAACAACTTTCTCACCCTCTAGCCCTCCACCTTTACCGTTGTAGCTGCCACAAAGGGATCACTTGAAAGCGGCATGCCACCACCATCTCCCCTAAAAATTTTGGAGTATATGATAGCACAAATGATTTTTGAGTTGTTGCTAATTATTTCATCTTTCTTTAGGAATTAAACGTTGATGAGTAGAGAACTAAGAAAGAAAAAATTTATAGCTGAACTTGATATTATATAATAATTTTATGCAATTCATATATTTTATGTTGTTTTACTCTAGTAATATTTGGATTTTAATTCTATTCACATAATTTATCACTTACCACTTGACATCTTCTGCAATTTTTTATTTCTTATGTATGTAAATTTGTTATTTCATAGTTCAATAGAAATTAATATGTCACCCTTTAACATATTATTCAAATTTTATATAAAAAAAACACCTTTTTTTTCATTTTACGCAATTTCTTAATTTTGAGACGAGGAAGAAGGAAAGAAAAACGCCTCAATACTCAATTGCACAATTTTAAATCTTGATATTAAGTTTAATGCAATCCACAGGCTGAAAATATTTACTACGATGGAAATGTGGCTGAGAAAAGTTCTTTTCAGTTAAGTTCACTTCAAGGCTTCAACCATGTTTTAGTCAGCAAGCTAATTTGCTATCTTTTTTTTGAGGAAAGATAATTTGCTATCTAGAATAACACATATACAACGCATGCAATGCCTTGTTAAGATGGAACAATCAGTCACTTATCGCATCCGTTTCATTAAAATGGCTTTCATAGGCTCAAATAATTTGAAACTGATCCAAATTCAAGATGAAATGGTGCAAAAAAAAATTGGCCACTTATGCCAAAATTTTTCAAATTAGTTAATAGCTGGCTAAGATGTAAACCATTTCCTGTTATCCCAATTGTATCTTGGACAACAATCACAATTCAAGCACATTTGTCCAGTCGGTAGAGTCACCTTCAAACATGAAAAGCAAGGAAACAGTAACTTGAACATCGCTGATGAACTTTTGCCCAGCTGATCTGATTTAAGAGTATAATAACTAAGATTAACTTCAGCTACCATATAAATATCTTCCCAGATAAATTTACCGATCAGAATCATTTTATTAAGATGTGTATAACAAATTAAGCATAGTTTAAGAAAAACAATCTTTACACTTTGCATTCAGTGATTACCAGATAACATATAAGGAGATCCTATTAACAAAAAAGACTTGCATAACTGTTCCAGTTGTTAGGAAGAATGTTATTTACAGGTTTTTCGCAACAAATCACAAATATAGGTTCAGTTCCTACGAACAAGATATATGGGGAAGAAAGAACCTACCTTAGCATCGAGGTAGCTTATATGATCAACAGTGATCCCGTCTTTCTGGAAAAAAAAATTTAGGAGCTTCAAATTAGTTTTCTATTAAAATTCAAATCAAGAAAGCTGCTCAACTCTAATGCAAAGTGAAAGAGAAAAAAAAAACAAAGGGAAGGTCCCTGCATAGAAAAATTTTGCTGGCATAGTTTCACAATAATTACAAGTTAATTACCACAACAGTTAATTAAGATGGAAGAAGAAGTTATGTAAGATTATTTTTCTGAACAAGTCAAAATATTATTTTGTTTTTTATGAAAGTTGGCTAAATACTTCCCATATAATTAAAAAGTTATTACAAAATAGTTGCACAGAAATAGAAATGCCAGAAAATAAACAGATTTAAAGAGCTACAACAAAGGAAAAAAATGAGAAAATCTCAACATGAATAGAAGGAAAATGTTTCTCTTCCCAACTTCTTCCCTTTAGCGTTGTTGATCCAACAATAAGCAAAACGAATTACATACAAAAGAAGCTTGACCTCAACGTTCCTTTCATTCAATGCTAAAAATGAAACAAATGAAGAAGGCATCCCATAATTCTCTAAAATCGTTCTTGATTTAAACATTTCTCTAAGTAGAAATAGTTGAATCTAACTTACCTATAGGGGAAGAAATGCATTCTTCAGACTCTCAACTTGCGAGTTATGCCTTCTTTGTCTCGGCTTCTAATCTCCTTCTTCTATCCGCAAGTCCGATGTCACTTGTATCTTTCTTCTCAATGTTTGGCAAGCAGCTTTAGGAGTTTATGTTAATGTTTGTGTCGTTGTAAGTGTCAAAGTTTATAAGCGTTGTTTTGTAAGAGTCTTTTATATTATAAAAGCAATGATGTGTCTTAGTTTAATTGTTGTATTATTTTGGAAGGTGTCCTAGTTTGTTTGTAATTTTCGTGTTATTTTCTATTTCCCAGAAAGAGTTTCTTTTGCTTGCAAAAAATTAGAGTCTTTCTAATTTTTTGCTTGCATCATAACTTTAGTAGTAATAGATCTAATGGGGGGATTGTGACTTTTGGCGATCAACTCATTAATAAGAATACACATTTTAGATATTTTGGATCTATTGTTCATAGTGATGGTGAAATACATAGGGATATTATTAGTAGAATTCAAGTTGGATGGTTGAAGTGCAGGAATGCATCGAGCTTGTTGTGTGATAGAAAAGTCCCCTTCAAACTTAAGGGAAATTTCTATAAGATGATGGTGAGACCTGCAATGCTTTATGGTGCAGAATGTTGTCCATTAAAAGAGAAGCATAATATTAAGTTAAGTATTGCATAGATGAGGATGCTCGGGTGGATGAGTAGAGAGAGGATACAAAATTAGCATATATGTAAAAATGGAGTAGCTACACTGCAAGGCAAGATTAAAGAGAGTCGCCTTAGATGGTTTGGTCACATAAAACGACGGCCTTCTGATGACCCGATTAGGAAAGTAGATGTATTATATTTGGCTTATATTAAGAAAAGTTGAGGTATGCCTAAAAAGACTTGGTTAGAAAATATTAGAAATGACCTTTATTTATTAGATTTAAATGAGAATTTGACTATATACAGGACACAATGAAATGTTTCAATTAAAACTCATATTGTTGTTTGATCACTGATTTGGGCGAGGATTACTTGTGAATACAAATATTTCCTATCAAATTGGTATCAGAGCATCGATTTGGGTAGATTTGATTTCCATGGCTACTCCAATGGAAAGAATGAAAGAGCAATTCCCTTCCTTTCACCTTGAGGACAAGGTGAGTCTTTGGGAAGGGAGTATTGTTATACCGTCGGCCCAGGAGGGGTCGGCTGGACCGGTCCAGCATGGACCGATCATCTTCTACTCCAGGCGGGCCAAGGGGGGCGGAAACCAAATCAGGAAAGAGGGGGTGGGTGGGGGGCGGCAGCCCTTGTGGGCCCAAGCATTTAATGTAATGAGCTTTAGGAGGAAAATTTTGAATCAAGGGGCTGTTTAGGGATTTTTAATTAATCCTTTTTGCTTTAATTAGGAGTTAGGGTGGGAGTTAGGTTTTCATCTTGAATTTGAATGAGATTTGAGATATAGGATTTGCTTATGTTGGGCTCTTGGCATTGCCGGAGATAGGAGAGTTATTCCTTCCTCTCGAATTGAAGGAAATTGTATCTTTGTTTGTTTTCTTGCATCTACTAGTGGAATACAAGAGATTTGCTTCGTTTTCTCTCAGAATTCTAGTAAATTTCTCATGTTTTCCTCTGTTTTGTGGTTGTTTCCTGCTGTGGACAGCACTAATATTGCTGTTTGATCACTGATTTGGACTAGGATTACTTGTGAATACAAGTATTTCCTATCAGTGTCCCTCTTAGTAATTGGACATAATTTCCAACTAATGATAATCGTTAAATGGTAAACACTTAGCTTATAGTAGCATCGATTTGATTAAAAATTGAAAATTTTTACCACCTTAAATTAAAGTAGATGGTGGTGGGGGGAGGGTAATGATGACCCTAATTAGACCCAATATGATTGAAAGATTGTCATCAACAACTATGAGTTGTTTCGTCTAAAGGAACCTTGTAGATCTGAAGTGAATGTTTGTTTAAAAAAGATAATTTAAAATAAATCTTAAATGATAGAGCTATGTACCCCTAGCAAGTGCATGCTATGATTCACAACTCAAGAGACAGAGCATTGAGAAACATTTGTTTTTTGTTCATGACTACAATTTAATAATGTAATTTTATAGTGAAACCACTCAGTTAGAGGGCCCACATCATAACCGTTATTTAATGGTGTCATTTGACAACAAAATCATCCAATAAAACGACACTTGCTACATCATTATTAGTGTGAGATTATTTGGAGCAAACCAACACAATGTAGGGCTCACAAGACACAAAAATCCCACTTCCAAGTGAGAGGTCAATGAGAATAATAAAAAGCCAGCAATCCAAGAAATGTCCATATAGAACTTAGCAAACACCACACAAGACCAAGGCACCGGAGCCAGAAAGAACAAACACAAACAAAGATCAAAGAAAAATAGTAAAGTTCAAATGGTGAAATTGCAAGGACAGAGGTTGAAAGGATTTTCAAAAGAAAATTGCCAAAGCAATGCATGAAGAAGACAGAGCAAGCAACCCAGGTAGATTATTCTTACCTAAACAGTTGAGAGAAGGTTAGTGATGATATTGGTGATTACATTTAGCTCCAAAAATAATCATTGGAATAAAGTGCATACTAAATTTATTGTTCAAATCAAACTTAAATCATTTAACAATCTAGGTAAGCTATAAAGAAGTATACAAGGAGCCACGTTACTGTCTTAAACTTTAGTTATAAATATACTCCAAATATATTTAGAGGTAACCATCCAACTAGAAGTCTGTAACAAACTGAAAATGTTCTCATTGCCTGGATAAAGCATAGACTGAAAAATAATGAGAAACATCACTGGATAAGATATTAAATCATACAGAAGAGAGAAGAATGATGGAGTAATGGAGGTCTAATTTACCTTGGTAGAAACAAGCGGAGCCCGATCACCCATAATTCTAACATCTGGCAGGTAGCTAAAATCAGAAGATACAAGAGACATCTTTGGCAAAGCCCAATGTAGAACTTGAAGGAGTTGCTGCACGTTCAAAAACAAACTCAGAAAAAGAAAACATTTTGAAGGGTACTATTATTGACAGTAAATATACTGACCAGGCAGCCAGTTGGTAACCAAGCTTTACGTGGCTTTGGAAAAGCCTTTGACCAAATTTTCCTTGTTGCAGAAAGAAATCTGGTTGGTTGTGTGCTTCCATCCTTATCCAAGCCAATAATCTTGATACACTGAGCAATTAGTGTATCTTGTAATGGCTTATAGATCTCGGAGACTTTTAAGCTGTTTTAGAATGGCACAAATAAGTGAAACATCAAGAGATTGATTCTTTTTTTTATATTTAAATAAAAGGATCAAATACTTTTATTGTTTATATTTCAATTATAGCTATCTCAGTATGTAATTTCAAGAGTATTTGATTATCAATGTGCTTTTCTTGGGACTAAAGGTTCTCATTCACACCTACGCTCAGGCATTTCAATCAAGGTTTAAAATTGCGTATTCGGGTATTGAGGCGTTTTTCGTTCGTGAGGCGAGGCGTAAGCCTCAAGGCGATTTGAGGCGTAAGCCTCAAAATCAAAAAATTGCGTAAACATAAAATAATAAATTTTGTATATACTAATGAGTAAATAATATATAAAACATAAAAATGCACAAGATAAATAGCAATGACATTAACATATCACATAAGAAGTTAAGAACTCACTAGTCATCAGCATTATCATCACTCATCAGTCATCACTAAGAGGGTCTTCATTTGAATCATCATTATGATGAGCTGCTCTCTCCTCTTCCCCCTCTCCTATAGAGTCCAATATCTCTCAATCAGCTTCTTCTTCCTCATTATTAGTTATCTTCTTCTTCCCTAAATAGTAAATATTTTTTACAATATTCATAATGAATATATAGTGTAATACATTAATAAAAGTTTAAGAAAAGAAAACTATATTATGTATATACCTTTTTTGATTTGTTCTTGAGTTGTGGTAAATGTGGATGCTTTAGACCATCAAGAAATCAATATTTAAATCTTCATCTTGTAATTCGACGGCATCACTTCAACTTCATCATCTACAAACCACTCATCATCAGATGCCACATCATCGCAAAGCAAGGATCTTCATCATCCATTAATTCCTTTTTTCTTCAAATTTCTATCTCTGAGTCTCATATTGTACATAATGTACACCAGTGAGTTCATCCTTCAATGTCGACAAGCGATTTCTCCTCTTTGTATGCACTTGGTTGTAGGTACTCCAATTCCTTTCACAGCCAGATGAAGAAGCATGTCAAGCCCAAAACTTCACAGCAAAACACTGTAATTCTGGAGCCCATCACCAAATTGAACCACCACTCAACGTGAAGATTGTTTGGCAATTGGTATGCTTTTGCTTTTTGTAATCCAAAAAAACCTTCTTTGTTCCTAAAAGGTACCAATTGCAAGTCAGCATTTGATCTTTCAGTTGCATCACTTATTAGAACGATCCATGCAATGATATAATCCCAACTTTATTTCATGGTTTGTAGACTGTTCTCTGCATATTGATACTGAGGTTAGGTAGTAAGCCAGCGCGGCATGCAAGTGTCGGTGAAGCTGTTATTCCCACCTATCATCAATAATATTCCAAATTTCCCTAAAGCTTCCCTCACTGCCTCCTAAGTTGGAGGCAATCATCTCTTTGGCTTCATCCATAGCATTGTAGAATGAAAACCCATTGCAGCTTCTTCTCAGCATTCCACCATCTTAAAACATGAACTAAAGGTCTAGTGGTTGTAATGGCATATAAGACACTTTGCCAAAATCTGTCATTTAAAACAATCTTTTCTAATATCTTTCCTCAGCCTTCTTCGCCCAAGCACAACTCAAACCACTGTGTAGATGTGAACATAGCCTCTAAAGGTGTCTGGCATCCAGCATGGCTCTTAAGGTCAAGTATGCGGGGTGGCAAATCTTGTGCGACTGGCCTTAGAATTTCTTTCTTTCGAAAACTTTCTCATAAGAGCTAGAACCCAAGAGTGGTTGTAAATAAACTTGATTATTTTTTTGGCTTTAGTGAGTGCATTTTTATGTGAGGTAGATCCCAAGCTTTCTCAAGAATCAGATCTATGCAATGTGCAGCACATGGAGTCCAATACAAATATTTCCTCTTCTCCATAAGTTTATTACCTGCAGCTTATAAGAACTTGCATTATTGTCACAATTTGTACAACCAAATGTTCACCAACCTCATCAACAATGTATCTAATAATCTAAATATGAACTTAGCATCTTTGACCTGGTCCGATGCTTCAATTACCTTAAAACAAGTCAGTACCATAATATTATTAATGAGGATGTTTGATCAGACTTCTATGTTGATATCAGACACATCCCATCTGACATAATTGTTACTCCTGTTTGGCTCAAGTCTTCTTAATTTCTTCGATGCTTTTATCAGTGCTTTCCAATCTCCTTCAAAATCCATGTTCTTAAATCATACATGGTTGGAGGTTTGAACCCTCTCCCAAATGCTCCAATCGAATCATGTTGTAATAACAGGTGATGTTGCAACATTAAATGGAATTGCATTTTCGTAGAAGAATCTGCCTATATCCTTACACACTCTTCTCCCGCCTCTCTTGCATTTTCTGGGCCAATCTTCTGTGTAGTAGAAGGTCTATCCTCTGATGTGTCAACCATATAATGATTCATAGGCCCTCTAGCACCCCTAAATGAAATGGGCTTCATATAAGAAGATGAATCCTAACGCTGCGCTCACTCCCGTAGTAAGATCCAGCATCAACTCTATCCTCAAATTGCTTCTGTGCAAGATGTTTTGATGTGGTTAGACTATTCATGTATGACTTTATCTCATCCCTTACAGCATCAGGAACTTTGGAGCATGGAGCCAACATTCTTGTGAGAGCCTGAAAGGTGTTCCTTCATCCTAGTCACACCACCTTTCACAACTTTATCACAGTAATTGCATTTCAGATAGACATATGTTTTATCACTTCCTCCTACATCCACCTGAGTGTTATATTTCCATGCTGGATCTTTTCTATGACCTGATGCAGCCTTATCCTTATTTTACCATCTGATTGAGAGAAATAGGAAAGCAAACGAGTTCTTACTATCTTTTATATGACATGATGCAGGTCAGAGGACACAGCAGCCTCGGACAGAAGCGTACGCTGTCGGACGGAGAAGACAGCAACCCAACTCGCAGTCTTACAGTAGAAGAAACCTCCAAGCAAATAAGTTTAGGTTTAATATGCGTACTGGATGTGTTCAGTATTATATAATGTCGAGCCGTCGATAAA